TGGGACGCGGGAAAAATTGTTAAAAATCGGGACTGTCCCACCAAAAACGGGACGTCTGGTCACCTTAAGTTAGCAGCCCAACGCATAGCCGCTGGTTGAGACCCTCAGGGCTGCCAAACCATCCTCTTGATGTGGTGTAAATGGAAGAGCTCAGAGTCCTTCAGAGAGAGGATATAGAGATGGAATCGCCACCTTCAGAAGTGTATTGACGTAGATGTATGACATGCTGAGAAACAATAGCTTCACATTTGATATGTTTAATGTTTTCTTATTCTATAGTGCTATTTTTTATTCACACACACACACCCAGCACCCTCCAACCCCTTTATAAGAAAAAGCAAAAATAGTTCGGCATTCTTCAAAGTGTTCCTCGGATTCAAATTTCTCTTTTTAATACCTGCCTCGGATTCAGTGGGTATCTGATTGTCAAAAGGTATTTTATTGTCAGAATTTTCCCCTAAGGTTTGATTCTGTATTATTCTCCTCTTGTTTGAAAGGATTATGACTCTATTGTGAAGCTGGTGGAGACACTAGAAAAACTACCAACCTTTGATTTGGCCTCCCATCACCATGTGAAGTTTCATTACGCTTTTGCACTGAATAGGTAAGAGATAAACATTCCCTTCCAGAATGTACTAACACCTTCTTTAGCTTTTGCTGAAGCATTGCAGCTGTGCCTCATTACAATGCCACATTAACACCTCTATGGAAAGCATTCCAAATATAGGAATTTCTGATATTCTGTCAGTATAAGAAGCCCTCCACTATTTTTATACTTAAAGTCTGCTTTTGCTCCCCTGGCAACGCTTGCACTTTTGAGTTGGACTTGATAGCAAGTACCGACAGGCAGGAAAATATAATAGAGCAGCCGTCGAAGTGAGACATCAGCTAAGTCCACTTGGAAGGAGCACACCCATCCATGTGATCCGAGGATTCCAAATAATAAAACCCAAACCCAGAGGAGGGAATGCTACCACAGCTTAAATTGTGAATACCTGGTTTACAGAAGGAGGGATGTGAAGAGCCTTCTTGTCAGATTATGGTACATATAGTTAGGTTAAAATATAATATTATTTGATCTTCCTTTTGATCCATTTAAAAGTTGGTTCAGTTTTTTTTTTTTAATGAAGAGGAAATACATGTGTATTAAGCCTCTGATGAATCCCCTCTAACCATGGACCATGTGACTAGCCTTGCTATCAGACCACGTGCATTGGAAAGTGGGTTGTTGCAGATGTAGTTAGGTTAAAATTTAACACTCTTATCGTTTGATAGCTTTTTTGACCTGTTTTAAATTTTTTCTGGTTTTTAACATTTTCTTCTTTCCTTTCAATTGAGGTTTTTCTCTGTTTTACTTTGTTATTATTGTTTGATGTTTTCTGTATGTGAAATCCAGGATAGGTACATCTATGGAGTCAGTAACTAGATGAATGGCTTCTTAAGGGTATGGCAGGGAAGGTTGGGGGGAGATGGGGAGATAAGAACAATGAGTACAAGAAAGGAGAAAATATTCTAAAATTGATTGTGGTGATTGTAAAATTCTTGATAGGATTGAGCTACTGAATTGTATGACATGTAAGTTATGTGCCAATAAAACTGTTTACAAAAACAAAATCATAGGGCTATAGAATTGCCTTTCAGCAAATCTGCTCAACACCAAATGATTGTCCACAGGAAAATTTACTAGAGAATAGTAAAGACAGTTCTATCTGGGTGAATATATACCTAACGAGAGAATGTTTTCCTTGGGCCGGCCCTGAAATTACGATCAAAACTCTCTTGTCTCCATGTTGGAATGGGACAGGACCAGGCACTGCCTGCATCCTTCCTTCCTCAGGCGTGGCCTCTGCGCCTGCTCCCTGAATCGTGGCACCTCTCAAGGCACCTTCTTGTCCAGAGTCACCGTGGTGAGCCCTCAATCAGACTTCAGATGTGGACGGGCCTGAGCAGTGAACTCTCTGAAGTTTAGTTGTGCTACTATCCAAAGTTTAGTTGTGCTACCCTTCTGTGGTGGAGAGTGGATTATATACGTAATGTATTAGTTTAGGTACTTTGGAGAAACAAATCCACAGCAACTCATATATAAGAAAGAGTTTTATGTAAAGAAAAGGTGCATCACGAAAACATCCCAACCCAATGCTGCCCAAGCCCACAAGTCCAACATTAACCCATTAACCCAACACCAGTCCACAAAGTCCTCCACCTCACAAAACAGAGGCAATGATGCCGACTGCAGGAGTCAGTGAACGAACAAGCATCTCAGCACTAGCAGGGGTCTCCACACGGCTGCTCCAGCACCCAGGGCTGCATCGGGATAGGTCCATGTGGCTTCTCCTTGGGGATGTCTTGGAGGAAGTCAATCTTGAAAGCTGAAGCAGGGAACTGCTAAGGCAGCTGCACCCGATGCAACCATCACAAAACAAGAGACCCGAGAACTAGAAAGGCGAGGCTCACCACCCATTTATCCCTCCGCCTTTCAACCAGCCCCACATGTGATTATCGGCCAGGCTGGCACAAATAACTAACTTACGTAATAAGGACAGAGAACGATTTAGGAGAACAAAATCATGCGCTAGTACAATGTGTCAGGGAGGGCTCGATGGCTCTCCTGTAGATGAAGAAACCAGAGTCTGGGACGGTTAAGTAGCATTCTTTGAGGCTCATGGTTAACATGTCCCAAAACGCATCCCAAACCAAAGCCCCTTGGACAGAGCCCGTGCGCTTCATCGCTAGGTTCTACCACCTCTGTCTGGAGCGTGGTTCTCAACCTCCCGAATGCTGCGGCCCTTTCACACAGCTCCTTGTGTGGTGGTGACCCTCCAACCATAACATTATTTTCGTTGCGACTTCATCACTGTCATTTGGCTGCTGTTACGAATCGGGCAACCCCTGTGAAAGGGTCATTCGACCTTCCAAGGGGTCGCGACCCACCGGTTGAGAACTGCTGGTCTAGAAAGAAACCTGTCAGCCTGCTACTCAGCCAGAGATCACTGCTCTCCTTTTGTAGCCACCCAACCTACAGAGCTCACTCACCTGGACCACGCGGGATAGCCTGGATGCATCTATGTGCCCCTCACTGTGCTGGCGGTCGTGAGGTGCTGTTGAATGGTTCCGATCTATGGACAACACTGCTTATTGAGCATCCTTTTTTTCCCCTTTAGAGGTAGCTGATATAGATGAGCTCTCCAGAGATTATCTACCCTAACTGACTTTCAAATAAGTCATTTCTGAAAAGTGAGATGTTATGTGCCCCCTACTAGTCACCCTCTCATTTCTCCCCAAGTCCTCCGGTCCTGCCCAGCGACCAATCTACTATGTCTTCTTAGGTTTGCCAATCGTGAATATTTCCTATAAATGGAATCATACGTCAGGTGGTCTTTTGGAACTAGCTTCGTTCACTTAGCATAATGTTTTTAAGATTCAAAAAATAACTCTTTAAGAACATTTTTATATGCTTTTGAGAACTACCCACACATGTTTGCTATTTTAAAATTGCCTACACGAAGCAGATTTCTTGGATTATTGATGGGTTACACTTAGATATTAGGCAGCTCCTGGGTCGACCTGGGTCTGGGAGTACAGTCTGTGAATTCGTTTGCCCATTAAGGTCCAGGGTCAGGCTTTGGTCCTTACTTGGGAGAGGTGAGTCTACACCACTTGGGCCGCAGACCGCTTTCTTAATTTCACTGGAAGAAAGGTGAGGCTTTCTACACTTGTAAAGCGTTGTAGTCTCTGAAACGCATAAGGGCAGTTCTACCCTGTCTCCTACGGTCACTGGGAGAAACGACTCAATGGCAGTGTGTGGCTTGGTTTGGTTTTTTTGAATTTTGCATTTACTTGCAAGTACCATGGGGAAGACTGTGTTGGGAGTAAACACCCACCGCTTTTAACAGAAAGCGTCTCGGAAGAGATCCTTGTTAATTAGACCCAGTGGACATACAATAGGATTAGCAACAAAATGCTTATAGAGGACAGAGGACTATCGAGTACCCTCAAAATCTGATGGTTTTCAGCCTGTTAACCCTGATTAGAATTAACGTATTAAATAAGGATTAAAAGAGATAATGGACCCATTGTTTCTGGGATTTGTACTGAAACAAGATGTTTTTGCCCCTGTCTTAGGAGAAATCTCCCTGGAGATAGAGCAAAAGCTCTTGATATCATGATCCCCCTGGTGCAGAGTGAAGGACAAGTCGCTTCTGATATGTATTGCCTGGTGGGGCGAATCTACAAAGATACGTTTTTGGATTCTAATTTCACAGATACTGAGAGTAGAGACCATGGAGCCCACTGGTAAGTACACATGATGGAAGTAAGGAACTTCACAGACCATGGCACGACCTGTGTGTGTGTGCGCACACGCGTGCGCGTGCGTGCAAATTCGATTTTGCATTGTATTTTTATGAACTCAGTCTTAGATTTTAGAGCTTTAATGACTTATTTGGATGAAATTTATGAAGTAGGGCACAGTAAATTAGGGTAAAATTAGATGGAAAGATACTAAGAAAGTATCCTAAATATATAACTATATATTTTTTAAGATCTGATCTTTAATATGTACTACAGGAGCTACATATCATTTTATGAGGGTATGTATAGTTTTACAGATCGTAAAGATTAGCTGAAAGAATGGGAAAATATACCAAGTTTGTGGATGAGAACACTTGATATTTTAAAAGTGTTAAAACCCTTAGTAGGGTTTTTCATGTATCTCGCTAAAAGGATTCTATATTATATTTGGAAGAATAAAGAGTCAAGAAGAAGCAAAGCTGTTAGATCCCTCGGGGGAGAGAAATACCTTGGTGCTTGCTCCACGTGAGAAAGAATTCACGCCGGAGCCTGGTTTGTGATCCAAGTGAGTTTATAGAGAATGTAGGCAGCATCAGTACTCGGGACCCAGCTGCTCAGCGGCCATGAGAGAACGCCAGGGCAAAACCTCCGGCTTTTCAGGGGCCCCTCTGGGAGGCATGGTCAAAGATACTGGTCGACTCCATTGGCTGAATCAAATTTGCCTGGCTTGGATGGGCCAATCCAGGTGTAACACCCACCTAGGTGTACCACCCCTTCTGGCCAGGAGCTGGAACCTAACAAAGCTATTTTGGAGAAGAACAATGTGGGAGGAGCTGGTCTACCAGATAGACATCATAAAGCTGTAGCGGTTCAGGCAGTGGGTCTGGGATGGGTGTAGACAGGTCAAACATTGGAACAGCAGAGGGGACCTGGGACAGATGGATCCTGATGAGACTAAATTCATGGCAGAGTGAGCTCCAGATGAGCCACAGGAGAAAGGAGTGAGTCATATATATATAATTCTAATGCCCTCAATGTTCATATTTGAGATAGAACCCACAGATATCCTAGGAGAAAACTGAAGAGCAACTGAAAGAGTGAGGGACTGAGCACATATTTTAGCAACTGTAAGGGGAGTTTGGAGTTTGTTCAAATTGAAAGCAAAATCCAAACAGAGACACGCTAATAAAACCCCATTCCTGATCGTACCATCAAAGAGAACCAAGTAAATAATTATGTGCATGGTATAGTAAAACTCAGTACTCTAAGAAGAGACTAACAGGATCCAGAGTCCCTACAATAGATCATCTAAAATGTCCAGTATGCAGAAGGGAAATAGAGGAAAGAGCTGGGAGGCAAAGGGCATTTATAGAGGTCTAGATAAAGACATGTACATATGCAAATATATTTATATGAGGATG